GATTTCGGGCTGCGCATGCATCACCGGTTGGCTGTATATTACAATCACATTGTGGTTGGCGATTTTGGTCGAACGGTAATGTAGGAGATTAGATTATAAAAAAAATCACCAATTTAATTTTCCAGAACGTTATTTTTTGGCTGGCCTTCGTCCTCTGGACCCAAAATCGGGTCCTTCGGAGGCCACACAGGCCCGCCCAGCCTCGGTTTATTGCTCCTTTCCCAACGTGACCGGGCCCACCCAATTTTAGAATCGACCTTTGTGTTAAAATACTTTACGCCGTTTGCAACAGTGAAATTACAACTGGTTTCCCTGGTTGATAACTATTTACTCTTTTATTCAAAATAGCTTACTGTCCAAGTAGGTGCATGAATGGGGGACGATGTGTCGCAGTACTGGGTAGCCGCATGTGTAACTGCCCTTATGGATTTAAAGGCCGAACGTGTCAACATGGTAAATGGAGAATTTTTTTTCAATCATGTCATAAAAGAAGTGTCTGTGTAGACTTGTCGATGAGTGCCTACGTATGTGTGTGTGTACGTATTTGTCTAAACGTCTTCTGTCATCAGTATTATTATAAGTTATTGTTCTAATAAATTATCAAGATAACATTTTCAAAAACATGTGCAATTATTGCACACGCTTTCTTGTAGAATTCTATTAATAACTCGATATACGTTGAACATGCATTTAGTACGGATTAAACTGCAATTTATAACATCATTTCAGCTGTCTGCAAAACCCCGTGCCTTCACAATGGACACTGTGTGAAACCTGATACATGTTCATGCGCACCTGGATGGACTGGCAGTCACTGCCAACTTGGTAAGTGTGATGCTAAATTTCGAATCTATAGGCCTAATTAATTAAAAGGATGTTCACCCATAGTCATAATCTAGCCATGATCTAGCCAATTTTAATTATGACCCTGAAGACATCCAGTTGCAGTTTCAAAGCAAGATTTTAATTCCATCTTAAATATGTATAATAGAAAAATTATGATTTGCAGTATTGTAACCAAAGTATAAAGAAATGAAGAAGGCAACAAATTAGAAAGATAAGAATAACAAATATTTTGTTGAGACAGCCTTTAAAACAAAGAATAGGCAGCGAACATTGAAATTTAAAAAAAGGGGGAAAAAAAACCGATGGCAAAGAGAATTGAAGAGAGATGACACTTTTTGACACTTTTCGACACTTTTAGTTCCGAGTTTCTAAATAGAAGTGTTTTGTTACTGACAAACAAAAAATTCACTGAATCGCCATTGAATCTCCAAATTGCACACTAGGATTAACGCCAATCTGCCAATGGGTTTCTAACAAGGGCCCTTCCCCCTCCTTTTTGGTTATGCCACTCAATATCTTTATGTATAATGAATAAAACACCATACTTTTAATACCGTACACAAACACTGACTGTGATTCATTACACCATGTTCGATTTAAATCCCGGGTTTCTAACCTGGCGATGAAGTTATGTTGGAGAAATGACAATTCGGCGGCAGCAGCCATGCTCACAATAGTTTTACCCTTCTGTCGGTGAAACGTGCTGTCAGCGAAACGTGCTGTTGGCAAAAAGACGTGTCCATTTGGCTTCTCTGTGAAATGTCTGTCGGTAATTTGGCAGTCGGCAACACGAGCTAGTAATGCCTCGATAATTCTGGCAAATCATCCATTATTGGTTGTCACTATGATTATGAAAAACCACTTTTATCTTCCTCTATACAGCTGTGTGTGTCGAGAAGTGCAGGAATGATGGGAAGTGTGTACAGCCAAACACATGCACATGTAAAACTGGATACAGCGGGCAGCAGTGTGAAATCGAGATCGGACAGGAAGAGGAAATAAAAAGAAAGAAACTGTACAATTTGTATGCAAAATGGCAAGCCTTATACATGTAAACGAACACTCATTAAAAATTACTATATAAATCCTTTTTCTTTTTTAAAAAAAAGACAAATTTAACTTAATTAAATTATAATACAAATGTTATATTTATTTATAATTTAGATGGCTTTGCAATAATATATACAATTAACAGTGTACAGTAGTTTGAAAGGACTGCGTCAAGTATGATAAGTTAGAAAATACCTATAAGCGGTAGGCCTATTACGAATATCATGATATAATCTTTGAAAGTATTATGCCTAAATCCATTTACCCGAGAAAATAAAGATATACAAACTAGATGATTTGCTCTAAAAGACAAATAAAGGCTGACGCATCACTTGAGAAACTATATGGTCCCTTGCCTAACGTGATATATTTTTGAATGATGAAGACAAATTTAACTTCCTTAAATTATAATACAAATGTTATATTTATTTATAATTTGGATGGCTTTGCAATAATATACCGGTATACAATTAACAGTGTACAGTAGTTTGAAAGGCCTGTACTTGTATAAGTTAGAAAATACCTATAAGCGGTAGGCCTATTACGAATATCATGATATAATCTTTGAAAGTATTATGCCTAAATCCATTCACCAGAGAAAATAAAGATATACAAACTAGATGATTTGCTCTTAAAAGACTAATAAAGGCTGACGCATCACTTGAGAAACTATATGGTCACTTGCGTAACGTGATATATTTTTGAATGATATTATGTAATACAATGGTGGTAATAATAAAATATATGTAAATGACATTTTAGTGACGTTATAAAGGTGAATCGGTTGGCATTTCGATCGGTTGATCGTTTAAACGTTCAAGGTGCTTGAAATACGTCTTTTGCGCTTAAGTCAGCGCAGGACTGAGTTCAGATTACTCATGATCCTGATTGGTCTTTTGTTTAAACCTTTGTTAAACACATATTTAGGTCTACATAAAACGACACAGTAAGTTGCCTTTAGTAGAATTACAATATAACGAAAGTGCGATATGTGTCTATGGCAGCTTGTTCCCATATTTTCTTCGGTTAAAGTATTCGTCCACTAGTTCACATGTTATGTCGTCTGCTGTGATAATACCTTTAAGAAAATGTTGAATAAATACATATGAAAATATTTTAGGGCCATTGATATTCAGTGAAATTAATAACAGAATAAGAAAAAAATGATTAATAATAATGCCTGTTAGGAGTGAATTTATCCTAAAACAAGGTAGCAGCTACTAAGTAGCAGTCGTGAGAACACACACACACACATATATATATATATATATATATATATATATATATATATATATATATATATATATATATATATATATATACAAAACTGCGAGACCTGGTTTTTTGTTACAGTAACACATTAAAGAATACATATAACAATACCGATACATAATAAAAATGAGATATGTACAAATATTATAATTAAAAAAAATTGTATTTTCATTTATTGATGTATTTTAAGTGCAATTCATATCATCAACTATAGTATATAATAGAAATTTAAAATAATATCAAGAAACAATTAAGAAAAAGTCAAAATTGTGTAGTTGGTATAAAGAATATAAATGCAAAAATTGGAAATGGATATTAACACGAACATTTACAATAGTCAAGTTTGAAAATGAGTTATACAAACCATAGCTGAATTACCTTTCAGATGTTTTATAAAAAGGTGATTTGCTGATAAAACAAAAGTGTTTTTGAACCTAGTTTTGTAGACTAATGGATGACGTAATCTACCGGTACTAGAATTCAACATGTTGGCCTACATAAATAACATAATTATTTTGTGCATAAATTGAACTGCATTCAATTTTTAGGTAGTTTGTTCTTCTCTTTTAACGAGCTCGAATTGACGTACATAACGAATAGCGATGCTTGCTTATAAATTGATTTACTATTACTATGGCAAAAAAGTCCCCGTGGTACAACAGTCTAAGCAAACGCCATTGGTTAATGGTTAAACCAAGGACTTTTAACTGTTACCAGGATAGGAAGCTGGCTGGTTTAAGCCGTCTAACTTGAATTAGCCTTACGTGTGGTATTGTTATGCTAATGAGTCAGATAAGCAGAATCTGCACATGCTCAGAAAAACAAAACTTTCCTTGTTTAAAGTCCTTGTTTAAACTGCGTGAGCCTATATTCTTGATCGTAATAAGTCTATTATATCTATAATACGAACCTGACACTACTTGATCTCTTTTCGCAGTAGGCTCCTGTGTAACGATGTCTACACGCACACCTATCAGGTGCAACACACCTTCCACCGTACATACACACTCTTCGACATTTTGCTAAAATAAATTACAAAATGTAATAATTGTAAACTTTTTGATAGGATTAAAACAATTAATTTATAACAAACGTCATATATTAGGACATTAAGAGCATTGCCATGTCGATAATATAAAATGGCCTGTCTAGATCTTTGTTTATCATCAGTTTGTAATTGCTTTCATCATCACCTTTTTGGTATGCCAGCCACTCGCAAAAGCAACTGGAGCCAACATCCCTACCTAATCAAAATATGTTTACAATGCAACATATGTTTCCATCAAATAAATATTTCAAATTATCCCTTTTGCCGTTATAAGTAAATAAAACAATCTTACGTGTTTGACAAGAAGCGCCACCATAACCTTGCTGACATGCACAGACGTTAGGTTTTATGCAAACACCACCATTTTTGCATCCATTATTGCAAATAGCTGTGAAAATATCAGACAAAACCGACAATGTGAGCAAAGAATATTCAAAAGTAATGTTTAGTCGGCCTCCTACCTCAAAACACTAAATTAAAGTTTACCTCTTTGACAATGTCTCCCTCTCCAACCCGATGCACACGAGCACGTATTTGGTGCAACGCATCTTCCGTTGTTGAGGCATCGATTTTCACACTTGGCTAGCAAGGAGAAAATCACAACGGATATTACTGTTAGATGATAACACTACACAAACTTTATAAATTAAAAGTAATTAATTAAATAAAAACTCCTGTTTTACAAAACTTGAGATAAAAGGAGAGGACTCCAGAGTGCCAAAAACAACAAAACCTCACGAAAAAAAAGTCATGTTTGATTGAGTATTACAGTTTTGTATATTGCAGTTTAACCTCTCGAAAGCGACCACGCTCGGTCCAAGGTTAAATGGTCGCTTATAAAGAGGTGGTCGCAGGAGAGCACACACCACCATGAAACCCAAACTTAATCGGAGATAAAGATAGCTAGTACAGCAACATATAACATATCATACTAATTTTAATAGGATACTGTAATCCAACCTCAAAACAATTTGAATCATAATGGAAAATATTGCAGATAAATATGACTTGACGCCGGAAATTTCATTAGATTACAGTGTGGGAACTATACATTTTACAGGACAGGGAGTTTAAACTGTTAGGAAGATTGCATTTTTTTTATTTAGTTGACTAAGTGTATTTGTTATGTAAACTCACGGATTTCACATCGTTTTCCAATGAATCCAGGCAGACACGAACACACATTTGTTCGTACACAAGTACCCCCATTCATGCATGTCTCGTGACATATTCCTAAAATACAAATTGGTAAATAATTTTAGACAACATAGGAATTCATCAAACGATTACAGCGCCCTCACCTGAATATAATGAGTTACTGAAGTTTCTGGGTTGAGTGTTACTTGTATCGCGGTAAACATTCTTAAGATAAGGGCGTATCATATGTATGTTAATTTGCAGTGCATCAAAAAATGACTACGCATGTGCATAGGAGTGTACAGATAAAGTGCTCCTAATCGGATTCGAATTTCCAAAGCCCCAGTGGTTAAGAAGACCCCGGGTTGGAATCTAGTTCTCTCTATTATACCGCCGTGATAGCGAGTTGCAGGTTGGAATTTCGCCAAACAAATCGTTCATACAAAAAAGTTATATGAACTATTTATATATTACATCATGTATTCATATTCAAATAAATTTTGTATCGGCCTATTCATATATCTATGAATTTATAAAGGGTCTATATTAATATCGTTTTATCTTTACACATTTATATTTATACTTAAATGTTTATATATATATAATATATTTCTGAAACTATGAATTTATGCAGTATATATTTATAAGATATATAATATATATATATATATATGTGTGTGTGTGTTTTATATGTATATATCTATTTACATTTATACATTGTGTATTTATATATATAAATGTAAATAAATTTATAAATTAATTTGTCTCTGTTGGGGTTTCCAATTACTTGCTTATGAAACTAGTGTAGTGGTTGATTAGATTTGATGATTTTACTGTCACATCTTTCCTCCATATGATTACGCATATAATGTAATTCATATATGTAAAAAATTAAGGATTTTATCCTTTCAAACAATTAAAGACGATACATAACTAACCTCGCTGGCAATAATTTCCACTATAACCCCGAGAGCAAAGACATCGCGATGGTTCTACACACATCCCACCATTCATACATCCAGGCTGACAAACGGCTGGAATATATATCGATTACGTATTGGATTTTGGAATAGGTAAATGAACATAACACAACACAAACACATCAAGAACACAAAACAACAGCAGCAACAACAAAACAACAATAAAAACAACAAAATCAACAACAGGAACATTTCAAACAAAAAACAATAAACTAATGAGCAAAAAATATTTAAAAAAAAATACAATAAAAATAACAATGATATTAACAAAAGCAATAACTTAAATCTAACAATAACGAGTGCATACGGTACACAAGACATGTTGAAAAATATATCTACGCACGTTACTAATTGTCATTGAACTCGTACCTTGTGAGCAGGTAGGTCCTGAATATCCCGCTGGACAAATACAAGTATCTGGGTCTGAACAAAAACCGCCATTTTGACAATTAACTCGACAAGTCACTAAATGAAAGGAAAAGGGGTGCTATTAGTACATTCATAAAACACATAGGCCTAGCCTATTACTTTACAATCTTAGTTTTATCCACAACACCACACAGATAATTGTTAATAGGTAAACATAAACACTACGTAAACATAAGTATATGCAGCTGCTAAGGCATTGCAACAAATGAAATGTGGTTCCGGCTCTGGTTCTGGTTTTGGTGGGTAAAGCCTACCTCCAAAGGACTCCAAAAGTGTGTGAGTATTATTAACAGGAGAGGTAAAAATAGTGTCGAATGATAGGAAAGGTCCACCACCGCAGTTTAGACACGCAGCGTCAGTCATGAGCAGGCTTGCCGAACCATGCCGCATTGAGGACCTAATAGGTAGGAAACTCACGATCACACGGGCATCGGCTTTGAGAAAAAAAAACCACCACATTTGGTAGTGAAATCTCGGAGCGTTTAGAGGTAGAGTAAGCGAAAATTACACTTCCAAGAAAGGAGGCGATAAAATTATGATGTTTACGTACGTTAAAAAAAAACAAACAATAAATTAAGAAAAAAAAATGTGAATCCTTCGAATGATTATGTATTTTGTAGAAAAAAAATTACGTCTACAGTGATCCGGGTCCGCACAGGTAATTTTCTAGACGATCCACGTGTGGTTAAGAGGACCTTGGTACTATATTGAACTTTTTTATTGAACTATTTTGCCAAAAATACAGACCACGAGCTCTGTGTGTTTGTACAAGGCAAGCACTACAAGTGAAATAGTTATGCCGCACCTACTGTATTTATAAATTTATAACATCGATTAGTTTGAAATTAAGTAGGCGACCGTGATCGTAATAAAAAAAATAATTTAGCCTGTTCTATGCGATTGAAAGCATTGTTTGAAAGTTAGTACGTTTAGTTAAGCACATGTAGCTCGACTCAAATGCCGAGAAAGGAGCATCATAAACTAGGGGATGGTTCGTCAGGTACTGTACATAATTGTGAGCTCCAGAGAAATAATGACCACAACATTGAGGACAATACAGTACGTCAGTGTTGTCAACATAAAAGAAATTTCAAAGTCACTAATCTAGTTTATCAACTTAATTCAGGGAGTCTGCTTTACGATGCACGTACGTAAGAATAAACGGTCCACATTACTACAGATTTTTATTCATGGTGCTTACAGCCATGTCAGCTTGGTCAACATAACACCGAATACTTTTAGTCCCACACGAGGTGCTTCGACCTTCGATTTTTAACAGTCGACTGAGAAGGAAATATTCATCAAGGCACAAGACTAAGAATAATTTCATCATTTTAAGAAAATTTAACCAATAATTCCAGTTCCAAGATAAAATTTCTCGGCCAGAATCCGAAAAAAGGTATTAGGCCTGATAGGCCTATTATTCGGCTAGAAAATTAGGCTGTCACGCTAAAATTGATCCGGGCCAGAAAAGGTCCGGCGGACAGATTTTGACCGCCGCTAAAGTCGGTTTGCCCGGACTACTTTTGGCCGTTCCGATGGTCTTTTCTTCGTTCAGAATAATGGTCAGCGTCAAACATTTGTATTAATCATGGTTAGGGCGATTTTTACGCGGCGATATTAAAGGATTGTCTTATATTGTTAAATTCCAATAAATTATCTCAGCTTTTAAAAATAATGTTAGTATATCGCACTATTATTATGCAAGTTAAGTATAATTAACAACATACATTGTTTAATGATTTTGTAACTAACAATCGTATCATTATTGTGTATTCATTGACTGTACCACTTTACATATAAATGTGTATTGTTGGGCAATTACGTATAGTAGCAGCAATATAAAATATAGTTATTTTAATATATCTTTACTTTATATGTTTGTATTAATACGTTCATGATTAGTTGTTATTATCAAGGTCGGTTATTATTACAATAGTATGGTTAGTATGGATATGGTCGGAATGGTTACCCGTATATACTATGGTTACAACGGTATGGGTTATAGTAAATGGTTATGATGGTATGTTTATTATAGTTAGTGTTGTATCGTTATTATGATTAATCTTAGTAGAAATTGCAATTGGTTTCTTGTTGGAAATCGACAGAATTACTTACTCGTTTCACAATGTGCACCCACGAACCCAGAAGGACAGACACACACGTTAGGAGCATAGCATTTACCACCGTGTTTACAATCGGGCTTACAAATAGCTAACAAAAAGTGGAATAGACAAAAATACTAAAAGAATAAATCACATATATTAGTTAACCAGTTTAATATATTAAGTCATAGAATATCCAGAAAACTTTGAAGAAATTGCTCCGGTACGAAGAATAATTGTTGATAATTCGCCATAGATTATATTATTATCTATAAATAATAGAGATAGAGAGAAGGATAAACAATGGGAAGACTTCATGTAGATTATCAAAACATACGAGGAACATCAATACGTTACACACGTAGGTCTATATAATAATCAGTGACGTAGCGGGTATTAGTCTATTACCATAAAATTACAAGATGGCCTATATACCGTACGGTACTATTATAATAAACCATAACATTTACTCTGACAGATATTTCGACTACTCCAGCAGTCTTTAGCCAAAATATTTGGTGGAATAATTTAGTGTTTCTATAGTCAAAATTGTACGAAATACGAAATACGAATGAACTTTATTATTTTTCATTGGTAATAACAAAAGAAAGGCATCTTCAGTTGGGAAACGCAGACAAAAAAACCGTTAAAATCCAGAAGAAAATCTAAAAATTTCATATCGTACTTTATCATTATCATTTTAAAATATCATATACGAAAATACTATATCGTTATTTTCTATGAACGTAAGAAGTAACAATATGAATACTATCATGGATAAAAGAATTACGCAGACGGTTTGTATTGTTACAGTGAGTGAGCCTAAACAAGATCTCTTTAGTGAGCACAGCTGGACAGTATATGAGTTTCGTCTTCCTCTATATGCCTAACTTTATTTAATACTCGATTCTGATACAATGACTTAAAATCAACGTATCTGAGTATTAATCTGAGTATTCATACTGTTACGCAGTATATTTTATATATGTTTCGAAATTACAAAAATAACAATAAATGGACATTGAATGACTGACAGTAAGAATGCCATATGAATATGTATGATGGTTTCAATTTTTGCAAATTTTTCAAGCAGTTTTAGTGTAAGTGTACGATGAGATGATAAAAATACACCACACTAATTTATATGTAGAACTGTACATTTTATTCCAAGTGAAAAGCGTATTTACAAAAACACTTGAGAAACAAGTTGATGATATATACAAATTGATAGAAAGCGAAAGTAATGTGTACTCAGAGAGGACAAACTGAGGAGTGTCTTTAAAAGTACAAATGTATGTGATATAGCATCACCTTTCATACTATCTGACCAATAAGGATTAGTAATTGCCTGTCCTTGTCTAGTACCTGGGAAACTCATCAACATTCCCAAATGATGTGTGGTCACTTGAATTAAGGCAAATGACCTTAAGATAAATGACCTTCCTAAGCTTGGTGTATAACCCATGAAGTTGGGATATTAGTTAAAAATGCAAGGTATTATTTACACACAGATCCTATATACAAACTTACAGATGGTAGTACTGCTACAGGAGCCCCCTACCAGTGAAAAAGAGCAGGGGCTGTTAACTGTGGGGGATTGTTAGGCCCAAGGGTGGAGGTGGGTGTGTGTGCTGTAACCGTATCTAAATGGGCTACTTTTAGGCGGTCAATGCTGACAGTGTCTCGACGACCATTTATGTCAAGAACAAACTGTTTGTCGGCTCTTCGTAAAACTTTAAAAGTGCCATCGTAAGGATGTTGTAATGGTTTACGAACGGAATCTCTACGAACAAACACATGAGTACAAGTTAGTAAATCCTGACTGATGTAAGATTTACGATTAGGATTGGTGCGGGTTGGAGTGGGATAAAAATTACTCATTATATCACGTAATCTATGCACATAATTAGAATAATCAGGAAATTCAGAATGTTAATAAAAAAATTGTCCTGGCAATCGTGATGTAGTACCATACACAAGCTCTGCCGCACAATGTCCAAGATCTTCCTTAAGTGCAGTGCGAATTCCTAGAAGTACAATGGGTAAATGTTCAGTCCACTTTGTAGGGTCATTGTATGCCTTGAGAGAGGCTTTCAAATGGCGATGAAATCGTTCAACAAGTCCATTTGCCATCGGATGGTATGCAGTTTGTACGAATTTGTTTGGTTCCAAGTAATCATGTTAGTGATTGAAATAATGTAGATTCGAATTGTCGACCTCGGTCTGTGGTTATTGTGGAAGGTACCCCGAATGAAGAAATCCAGCGATCAACAAAAACGAGTGCGGCAGTTTCTGCTGTTATGTCAGAGATGGGTACAGCCTCCGACCAACGAGTGAAACAATCAGTAAAAGTCAGTAAATTACTATAACCATTGGGGGTGGAAGAGGTCCGACAATATCAATGTGGACATGGTCAAAACGAGCATCAGGTGTGGAAAAAGTAGACAACGGTGAGACTGTGTGTCGGTGTACCTGTACTTTGGAGCGCTGACACTGAATGCATGTTTGAGACCATTGGCGTACATCACGGTTTATACTCGGCCATAAAAAACGCTCTGTAATTAAACGTTGAGTTGCTCGAATACCAGGATGAGATATCGAATGAAGAGTGTCAAAAATTGTGCGACGAAAATCTAATGGAACATATGGGCGAGGATTACCCGTTGAAACATCGCAAAGAATCGTTGAGTCTGAAGTTGCAGTTGGAAATGGTTGGAGTTTAAGTGACGATGATGATTCACGTAGTTTGCACAGTTCATCATCAGTTTGTTGTGCCACTGCAATGCGTTCAAAATCAACCATTGTAGACGAATGGTGCTCAAGAGGGTTAAGTTCGATGCGCGACAGTGCGTCGGCTGCAGCATTATCTTTGCCGCTTACATGACGTAAATCAGTCGTGAATTGGGAGATAAAGTCTAGATGACGAATTTCACGTGGAGAGTGACGATCAGCTTTAGCGCGAAAGGCGTAAACGAGTGGCTTGTGACCAGTTAAGATGTGAAATGAGCGTCCTTCAAGAGAATGACGGAAATGTTTAACTGAGAGATACACTGCCAAAGGCACAAGACCAAACGTGCTGAATCGTGTCTCTGCTGATTTAAGTTTTTGAGAGTAAAAAGAGATCGGTTGCCAATTGCCGTCAATGCGTTGCTGCAAAATACCTCCTATAGCCATATCCGAAGCATCTACTATAATACACAATGGTGCATCTGGCTGCGGGTGGGTGAGGAGTGTAGCGTTAGCAAGGGCGATTTTTACGTTTGTGAATCCAGTCAATGCTGCGTTAGTCCAAATGTGATCTTGTTTCTTACCTGTTGCTACAAGTAATGCTGTAACAGGTTGTAAGATCTCAGCGCATTGAGGTATAAATCGACGGTAAATATTAACAAGTCCAAAAAATTCGCGGAGTTTGCGTAATGTCTTTGGTTGTGGAAATTGTTTTTTGTCTGAAGTGGTCGGATACCTTTGGCATCCACATGGTGTCCTAAAAATTCCAATGATGAAACTCCAAATTGGCATTTTGCTGGATTAAGAACAACACCATACACATTGAGGCGAGTAAACAATTGACGCAAGTGATTTTCGTGTTCCTGGGCATTAGAGCTTGCAACAAGCAAATCGTCTATATATGCATAACAAAAATCAAGTCCGCGTGTCACTTGATCGATAAATCGTTGAAAAGTTTGTGCGGCGTTGCGTAATCCAAAAGGCATGCGAACGAACTCAAACAAACCAAATGGAGTAGTTTTAGCGGTTTTTGGTACATCGCTGGCCTCGACAGGGATTTGGTGATATGCTCTGACGAGATAAATTTTAGAGAAAATGGTTGCACCATGTAATGTGGATGTAAAATCTTGCATGTAAGGTATAGGATACCGATCAGGAAGAGTGGCATTGTTGAGTGCACGATAATCACCACAAGGACGCCAATCTCCAGGGGTTTTCTTTGCAACCATGTGCAGGGGTGACGACCAGTTACTGTCAGAGGGGCGGATTATACCAAGCTGCATCATATGTTCAAATTCATGTTTTGCGATCTTGCAGCGGTCGGGCACAAGGCGACGAGGACGTGCAGATATTGGAGGGCCGTTGGTTGTAATGTGGTGTGTTACATCATGTTTCAAAGTCGCCTCCTGATAACATGGGAGTGTTATTGAAGGAAACTCTGAAAGAATGTTATCAAAGTTGGACTTACCCACGACTGTGTTGAACATAAGGTTGAGTGGTGGGCATTTCGAAAGTATACCCTGAATACTTAAATTGGTTGTTGTGTCCACTAGTCGATGGTTAGTCATGTCGACAAGGAGTCCAAAATGTCGTAGAAAATCGGCGCCTATAATGGGGTGCGACACATCCGCAATCACAAAAATTCATGAAGACTTGCGACGTAATCCCAGATCAAGAGTAATTGAACGGTGTCCGTATGTTGCAATCGATGATTTGTAAGCCGCGTTTAAGTTATAATCATGTCGCCTTTTTTTACGTTCATGTCGAGTTGGTGGAACAACGCTAACTTCTGCCCCTGTGTCGATGAGGAAGCGTTGGTTAGAAAATTTGTTCGTGATAAAGAAAAGGCGATTACAGGATGGCCAGCAACGTTCGTCGCTTTTAGTTGTTGGCGTTGGCGTTTCCTGAACACGGTGGAAGACATTTGCGTGCATTATCACCAAATTTCAAATGGTACCAACAAAGTGATGGCGTCTTATCATCGGCTGATCGTGAAGAGCGATTGCGCGATGAAGAGCGATTGCGACCATATGATCAACTGCGATTTGGGCTTCCGCTTCTGGGTCGAGATCGTTGATCCGCTTGCCAAGATTCAAATTTTTGAATCTGCAATTGAAGTGTGTGAATTGTGGCAGATTGTGAGGGCAGTTCCTCTGGGTGGACGGAAGAAACAGTCGGCGGTGGCACAGATATTGGGGAGGTGGCAGATACCTCCAATATTTTGTCGGTAAGTGTAGTTAGGCATGGCATATCTAGCTCATCTTTTGCAGAAGCCAAAATTAACTGAACATTGGCTGGAAGACGACTTAAGAACAATTGCTTCATAATTGTTGGTTCAAGGGTTCGGTCGCCGCGCCGAGCAGTTGCAACATCCTGCGATATAATTGGGAGGGTTTTCGATCTCCTAACTCCTCCGCTGTCAAAAGTTGTCGGAGACGCTTTTGATCGGAGTCAGATGTCCGTTTTATTAATGCCTCCTTTAATTGTACGTACCTATTGTCCTGTGGCGGGTGAAGTAAGAGATCGCGCACTTCTTGGGCTATCTCCGATTCAAGGAGCCCACCAAATACGCGTACTTCGTAGCGTCCACCGCGATATGCCTGGTTGTAAACTGTGCCTCAACCTGTGTGAACCATAATGTTGGATCATTGGGCCAGTAGGGTGGAAGTTTCAGAGAAACTGATGATATTGCAGGCGGTGTAGCATCTAAAGCAGATACGACAGGTTGTTGCTGTTGAACTTGTTGCTGTTGTCCTTCCATTATTAACTTGATGCAAAGAGTGTGTACTGAAACGTCGGAGGTCACCACTTTAGTGTAAGTGTACGATAAGATGATAAAAATACGCCACACTAATTTATATGTATAACTGTACAATTTATTCCAAGTGAAAAGCGTATTTACAAAAACAAGTTGATGATATATACAAATTGATAGAAAGCGAAAGTAATGTGTAGGGCAAACTGAGGAGTGTCTGTAAAAGTACAAATGTATGTGATATAGCATTACCTTTCATACCATCTGACCAATAAGGATTAGTAATTGCCTGTCCTTGTCTAGTACCTGGGAAACTCATCAACATTCCCAAATGATGTGTGGTCACTTGAATTAAGGCAAATGACCTTAAGGTAAATGACCTTCCTAAGCTTGGTGTATAATGGGATATTAGTTAAAAATGCAAGGTATTATTTACACACAGATCCTATATACAAATTTACAGATGGTAGTACTGCTACACAGTAAACAATTAACTATCACTATCATTATGTTCTCGAACAATCTTCAGCGATGGTTAATGATCTGTAGAGTTTTGTTTAAATTTGAAGGCAGTTTGTGTATATCTGAATCTCATGAAAGGATGTTGGAAATATTTCGCCCTCTTAGCATATTCTTAAGATGTGGGCCAATAAAGTAACGTTTATGATTATTTTTATAGTCTGTCAGTGTCCTACATGGAGCTAAACTTGAAATATTATCATAGGTCATTGGTTAATCGGAGATCTTATCTTATTTGTAACTCTTCAAAACCGATGTATAGTTTATGAATTTATAGATGACATTAATGTTATTAATGTTATATATCGCAATAATGAGGCCTGACTATTACTATTCTTAATAATATTACTCATCATCACCATACTAATAATATCATCATTCAATGTTTCCGGAACGCCCTTTGTCGAGAATGTGGGAAGCAATCGAAAAACAAATTTGGAACATTGATCGTATATTATGATTATGTAAAAGAATTTGGCTGAATACACAAAAACGAAAAGCATCTCTCGTTTGAGAGGTGACTCAGTGCTGAAATTTGTAGTGTTTGAAATTGTTTAAAGGTTTATACTATGAAATTTACGCAGGTAAACATAGTAACTTATATTATCAGGCCAAAACAAAGGTTAATAAAATTTGTTGTGACGTTACTTTGGTGACTCAATCATTGCGATTGACACAGTTTTGAATTTATGACACTACTGTACGTCACGTTGTAAATTTATAAAGGCGTACATGTCCGTTGATTTACTCAGATCATGAACAATTAAGCGTACGTCACGTGTCACACACGTACGGTAGTTTTAAGTGAGTTGTTCTTACACTAGTTCAGGATTTGAAAAGCGTTCATATGTTTTTCAAGTGTATTTTCATGTGCTCGGCTACAACACTACATGTTGTCACAAACGCCTAGCCTACTTAAATTGTGACAATACGTGATCTATACAACAATCATGGCAAACTCTCCCAGTCCGTCCGTGTCCAAAATTCTACAACAAATTAAAGATGGTCGTGCAAGCTTACATACGACCATCTTCACACAATTTCACCTCCCCAAAGTTCCGCACTCACATTCAGTACAACGTGAGGTGACTCATCTTTGTTTTACCATACGTCTCGTCTCGTTACAACCAAATACATTTTGTCTATCTCATCCTATCCCACCCCCACCTAAATGCGCCATTTAGGTGGGGGGTCACTCTAGTTCTGTGGCCTCTGGGTTCGAATCCCAGTTTGCTGGTTAACTGTAACAATACAGAATACTCAGAGAGCAGGGGTTAAATTACAAGGAAAATACAAAAATGAGACAAAGCCTATGTATTATTAAATCAATTATAAGATGTGTTAAAAGAAAAATGTTACCTTCACTGCATCGTTTACCCGTGTAACCTGCATAACATCTACATTCGTTTGGTGCCGCACATATGCCATTTTGACAGTCGGGTCTACAGATAGCTATGAGACATAATTAATGACTTCAAACCGTGTTATCATTCCAAAATAACGTGCACTTTCAGGAATACAGTAGTATTCCGATGTTCTGATAATCTACTGTAATGTGCATGCGACAAAACCATAACATCAAGCCTAGACTTGATGGAGCAATGACACTCATCAAATAATAAACACAATAAAAGTATGCTTAAGACAATAACGTGTAAACAATTATAAATTGTGTGAGAACTTGGTAGAATTTAATGTAATCTTTAAAATTTTAAATGTGGTAAATTTAAAGCAGCTTTAAAGGGTTTGAGGTACAGTGTTGTGAGTTCCAGTATCTCGGGCCTTACATAAAAATAGTACCACATGGTAAAGTACGACTAATTAGTTTGTTGATGGGAAGCAATTGGGCCTATCACATTATCATCATTGCTACGGAAAAGATATTAATACTATTACTATGTTAAATTGTTATTTTATCATCATTATTTCTATCAAGTCGAATGGCTGAGCGGTAAAGGCAGGGGCCCCGTAACCACAGCCAACAATACCGGCATAAGGACTATAAACCGTAGGCCCAGTGTACACAAATGGTCATGTACATTTAAAAAAAAACCCAGAGACGAGTAGGGGTGGGGGGGGGGTACCCCGGTGTACTGGTCCACTCGCCTGCAGAGGATATGAAGCGACCCTCTCAGGGGAGCAGAACGTCATTGAAAAGAGCAACATCTCGTCCACTGCGCCACAAGCAATGATTGTTGGAATGGCGTAATATAAATGGAACGGTTTGATTTGATTTTGATTATCCTTAATATCATCATCATTTATATCGTCTTCGACGTCACCATCATGATCATAATTCTCATCATCATCATGACCATGACTGTGGTCGTTTTCGTCAATATCATCATCATAATCATCATCATCATCATCACCACCACCACCACACTGTTACTATCACCACTTAATTGGTGCTGATGCGCAAAACTCACGTCTGTTTGTCGTTATTGCGAAAATATACCACGTTTATATTAGCAAGAATGTAAAAGTCATCTTAAATAATCAATAACGAAATGGAAAGATACGCTTTGTATAAAGAATACTTATGGCGATAGAGGGACAGGGAACTTAATAAAATGGTACGGTAACCAAGAACAAGAAAAAAGTACACTGAAGAAATGCGTCGACTAGCATGCAGGGTACATAACACAACATATTTGAGAGTACGGTAATAGATTGAATTATTTAATGAATGCACATTACAAAGCAGTGGATGGAAAAGCCTGATTGATTGATTGATTGATAGAAATAAAGTTGTCAAGACAACGACACGTTATTAAAACAGTGTAAAATATACAGTACATCTAATAGTTATAGTACTTGTCAGAATTCAGGATGTGGGTGATAACCGATGTGTTACCACGATAAACTGCGCGTGTTAAAGGCATCGTTTAAAATTGAAGTACTAAATGACACGTTATCAAGTGCTATAGTATGCAGATACTAATTTCTAATTTCCCGTCACAAAAAAAAATCATTTAACAACTTATTCATAACTATAACCACACATGATTTAATATGAAATGACTAACTACACGAATAACGTATATGTCAAGAAATGCTAATGTGGATACTAAGAAAGGTAATACCTGTAAAAAAATAATACAATAAATATTAAAAGCGCTAACAACTCAAAATAAATACAAAATTACAAGTCAAAAAACTAATTATGTAGTACCTACCTATTTTACAGCCAAAGCCTGTCCAACCATCTTGACATGTACATTGGTTATTAGCACTGCATTGCATGTTATTAGGACATGTTACTGAGCACTGTCTCCCTTCAAATAAAAGAAGCAAACAAAAATTAGAATTTAGATAGTCACATCCCTATTTGTAGTGCTATAGTTTAGCCAATTGCAATTGATTAAAACAATATTTAATAAAAAAAAAATATATATATATACATCAATATGTTTCTTTCAGAATACATAAAAATTATTTCAAATATATCACATAGTTTATGAATCTAGATTTTATAAAGCATTACAATTAGTAACAAACGAACGACGAAGATGCAGGTGTGGCGTTAGCGGGGGCTAGTCGTGTCTGAACCCCGGAAAATCTCGACATGTACATTGGTTGTCAGCAGTGCATTGCATGTTATTCAGTGGCGTAACAGGCGGGGAGAGGAGGCAGGGGAGGCGGACTTTCCCCCTCCCTGACGATTTTTACCCGGCTGACCAAGCCCTCGTACTGGGCTGGGTTATAAGAGAAAAGAAAGAAGGGAGAGGGAGGGAAAGAGAAAGAAGGGGAAAAGAAAAGGAAAGGAAGAATGAAAAGAAAAAAGGAGAGAAAATTAAAGAAAAGAATAGAAAGGAAGATATATCATAATGACTAGATTCACAACACCCTGCAACTCCTTCTCCACAAGTGTCCATAGCTCCTTTGCTCTAAGCCGCCAGATATTCTCCGCAGTGGCGTAACCACCGGGGGACAAGGGGAAAATATCCATCTGTGGAAAATCTTTCCCCACCCCTTGAAGATGGCATTTTCACCCCCTGAAAGTGCCTAAAAATCTTAAATTTCGTGCGCTTCGCCCGCATTTCTTGTTAGGATAGGTCGATTTCCTCTAAAAATTGCACATTTTAGGGAGTTTTGATCAATTCCGACGAAATTAGAATTAAAAATACTTTTTCTCCCCTTTTTTTTAGAAGGTTAGCCTTCTAAATTATTTAAACACATAATAGTCCCAAACTCAATAAAGGAAATTTAAAATAAATCGTTTTACCTAAAAGAAGGGCTTCAATGTGTAATGATGGTGAAAGAATATGTTTGTAATAAATAAAGCCATAATGAAAAATGCTTATATTAAGTTTCAAAAAACGTGTGTGGCCCTAAACTAAAAAAAAGGCCCAAAAAAAAAAAAAAAAAAAAAAAAAAAAAAAAAAAAAAAATTGTCCCTTTTTTAGGGTGGGAACTTGTGCTTTGCGTTCTAAGTTCTAAGAACACATAATAGTCCAAACTCAAATAGAAAGAACATTTAAAAAAAAGGGTCTCAATGTGTATTGATAGTGAAGATAAATAAATAAAAATAAATAAAATAAAACCATGATGAATATGCTTATATTTAGTTTCAAACACACGTGCGTGGCCTGTTTTATAAATAAGATAAGCCCTATGTCGTATTGTTTTCTATATGGAGGGGTGGGGTGTGTATAATAAATTACTAAACGAGAAAATTATTACCTTCCCCTCCCCCCCCCCCCCCCTCGACCCAAGACCCCTGTTACGCGCCTGATGTTATTAGGACATTGCTGAGCATTGTCCCCCTTCAAATAAAAGAAGCAAACAAAAAATAGAATTTAGATAGTCACATCCTTATCTGAATGCTATAGTTTCGGGTATAGTTTAGCCAATTGCAATTGATTAAAACAACATTTAATTAAAAAAAACAAAAACAAAAACAAAAACAAAAAACAAAAAAACATAAATATATCAATAGGTTTCTTTCAGGATACCTTAATTCAAATAAACATAGTTTATGAATCTACATTTTATAAAGCATTACAATTAGTCACAAACAAACGACGAAGATGCAGGAATGGCCAGTCGCGTCAGAACAGCGGAAAATCCTGCGAAGAGCGGATCATATAATACCGTGAAACCTCGAATGAAGACCATGGGCATTTTTTTTTTGCGAACTTTGGATAGGCTTCTTTTGGAGATGGGATTCTTTTCAAGATGGGCTTCATTTCGAGACTATTTTTGCAAAGTAAAGAAGGGGACTTCTTTTCAAAATGAATGCACTGTAAAACAATAAATAAGGCCACTGTAACATAAATCAGTATCATAGAGTGTATTTAACTGGCATTAAATCAGCTAAACTACTGTATAAACCAAGCTTGTATTTAATTTATTTTTTTTTCAGAAATTCATGTACAGTGTATGTGACTGCAATATCTTGAAAAGAAGCCTATGCTATCTTGAAAAGAAGCCCATGGGCTTCTTTTTGAGATGGGCTTCTTTTCGAGGCTAATTTTGTAAACTAAAAAGGGTGGCTTCAATTCGAGACGGGCTTCATCTCGAGATTAAGCCCAATGGGCTTTAATTCGAGGTTTTACGGTATGATAATATGCTATAGACACGCAGAATATACCGTCTTGGGCATGATGTTTACTTTTTCCTGATTCGTTTTTGAATGAAGTATTGACTAAGGAAGTATAAATTATTTATTGTTATATTATTAATAGTATACATGTTGAACCACGTTGTAATAAAATTGATTGAATGTAACAGTCAACTTATTACAACCGATGGTAACATAAATAATTTTATTTAAATTATATTAAATTATATTACATAATATTGTAAACTTACTGCACTTGATGCCGTCGCCATTATACCCATTAGGACACGGTTCACATCTGAAGCCCAAATACATGTCTGGCACCAAAATGCAGTTAACGCCCTCAAAGCAAGGGTTTGGATCACACGGAGTCAAAGACTGCTCGCACAATAAACCTGAATAAAACAGAAACGTACGACTTAGGGGTGAATACACTATTTAAAAAGCAGAAGTAGGAGTACACGAGGCCGTGATTTTGGCTAATAAATTAATTTTCAATTACTGTGTATATTGAATAAACGCCCTGCTTTGAATAAACTCCAGAGCCTAATTTGGAATAAACGCCTCCATGTAATAAACGTCCCCTAAATGACTGTAAACAAAACTAATGAGAGCAACATGGTTCTTAATATATTCTATTATTGTTATACTCCAGTAGATTTACATTATTATAACTTAGGATAAATATGTCTTTATGATCGCGCAATAACACTTTGCCGGTAATTATGTGTTGTAGTTTCACATACAGTAAACCAGAGCCTTGCAGGCTTCAACGTTCCTATGCATGATACATGACTTAAAAAGTATATATACATATACATATATATATATATATAAATATATACATATATATATATATACGTATATATATATAGACATACATATATATATATATATATATATATACACGC